CCTGGGAAATCCCATGAACAGAGGAGCCTGGCAGGCAACAGTCCAAGGTGTTGCAAAAGAGTTGGACACAACTTAGCAACTAAACAACAATAACATATTCAAAAGTACCAGGAGAGGGAATTCCCTGGTGGTTCAGTAGTTAGGACTTGACACTTTCCCTGCTGGAGCCCTGAATTTGACCCCTACATTTGAGAACTAAGATCTTGCATGCCGCACTGCATGGCCAAAAGTAAATAAATAAATATAAATTAAAAACAAAAGTACCAGGAAAATGTGCACACAGTAAAACACACCAATTAAAATTTGAAAGACAAGAATAGGGGAGAATGTGATGAACAAATCATAATATTCAATATATTCTGCATAATACCTAGTCCTAGAATCTTTGCCAATATGATGGATAAATTCAGCTCTCATTTTATTTCACTTTTCCAAGCACCATGCCCAGCAATACACATTGAGTAAGAAGCAGCTATCGAACTTGGAGAACTGTCTAAAAGGTGGAAAAAGAAATGAGTGTATAAACCATGCATAAGCCAAAGAGACAGCTTGTAATTATTCCTTCACTTCTCTGAGAGAAAAATAGCAAATAATGTCAATGAAACAGGCACTTGCAGTGACAGAATTCTGTCAATATCAGTTGGTGGAGTATATTCCATTTGCTGGTCAATGCACTTTATGATAAACAGAGGCTGTAGCTGCACTTATGCAATGGCAAGTAAAAACCTCCTTCCACACAGTCAGGGGCTTCCAGACATTGCAGTGTTTATTATAATGTGTTAAAAATAAGATTTAAAAATATATTCTCACATTTTTTTCTGGCTGTAGCATTGTGACAACAATCTCTGAATCTATATTCTGTGGCTTACGTAGTTTATATACATTAAGTATTCCATTTGAAGTCTGTATAGCAAGCTGAACTTTGATTATTCCTGGCATTATTTTGCAATTAGTATGATACCAATGAAAGTAGCTATTGATTGTTGTTGTTCAGTCGCAAAGCCCGCAGGCTTCTTTGTCCTTCACTATTTCCCGGAGTTTATTCAAATTCATGCCCATTGAGTCAGTGATGCTATTTAACCATCTCATCCTCTGCTGCCCCCTTCTCCTCTTGCCTTCAGTCTTTCCCAGCATCAGGGTCTCTTCCAATGAGTCATCTCTTTGTATCAGGTGGCCAAAATATTGGAGCTCCAGCTTTAGCATCAGTCCTTCCAGTCAATGTTCAGGGTTGATTTCTTTAGGATTGACTAGTTTGATCTCCTTGCAGTCCAGGGGACTCTCAAGAGTCTTCGCCAGCACAATTCAGGGCTCAGCCTTATTCTGTACATGATTACTGGAAAAGCCATAGCTTTGACTACATGGACCTTCGTTGGGACAGTGATGTCTCTGCTTTTTAACATACTGTCTAGGTTTGTCATAGCTTTCCTTCCAGAGAGCCACTGTATTAATCTCATGGCTTCAGTCACTGTCCACAGTGATTTTGGAGCCCAAGAAAATAAAACCTGTCACTGTTTCCACTTCCCCCCTTCTATTTGCCATGAAGTGATGGGACCAGATGCCATGATCTTAGTTTTTTGAATGTTGAGTTTTAAGCTAGTTTTTTTTTTCACTGTCACTGGTTGTTTCAAGTACTAGAAATAAAAGGCAGATACTTTGAATACAATTAAACTATTTCAGAGTAAATAGTTCATTTCAGAAGGTAAAATGACTATAGCAAATCAGAAGTCTTTTTTGAAATCAGAGAAATACAAATGAAAAGTCATTCAGTGATTTCTCAAATTAGTAAACTTGAGAAAGCTCAATTTTATAAAAGATCTGGGAAAAGAGACGTACTTTCAATAGATGTTGGCACAACAGATTGACTGCAGCTTTCTGGAGGACAGTTTGGTAGTAGGTTTTGGAGCTTCTGAACCATAATCTGTCTCTCTTTCATGCAGGAATTCCTAAAAACCTAAAATGTAACCTAAAATGTAACCTAATGGAGACAAAACTAAGTGGTCTCTTACACAGGTATATTGCTGTATATAATAGTAAAAAGTTGACAATAACTCAGATACACTACAGAAGGGAAACAGCTAAAACAAGTTGTGATATCTTAAGAAATGTAACAATCAAGCAAGTATTAAACATAAATATGTGAGCTTTATCAACATATAGAAGTATGTGAATGAAAAGAAGAATTGGAAAATAATGTCAACCCCAAGACGTAATACACTGAACTACAAAAAAACTTTTAAGTGTAATTTACTTAAAGCCTAGAAAAAAATCGATGGATGTAGGAGTTAAAACTTTACTAGTGCATGTTTTGCTTCTTTATTAATTATATGTTACTTAAATTTTCCTTGGCTTGCTCTGTCGTGTTATATCAAAACAAAGGTAGGAACTAAAGGAACATATTTCAGGAATGTGTCAATCTTATATCTAAATAGAATTACCCCAAACATGTCTGATGTGATCCCAAATGGAGCTGCCTGGGCACCCCATCTGATAAAACATTAGGAGAAGGCACATGGGGAATAAAAAAAAGAGAGAAGTACATGTATGTAAGGTTGGGAAAAATAGTCTGAGCATTCATCATCCTTGGCTGAAACATACATCTGAGAACCACCCCACCCATAACTAGTCACAAATGCTCTGCCAAAATAAAAAAGTAAAATAGCAGCATATGCTGAAAATTTTCCTGTTTTTATGATATGCAGAGAGACATTTTCTTTCATACATTCCCTTCCTTCACACTGCTGAGAATCCAGCCCTAGCTTTGCTGTGATTTCAGACTTCTTTTCTGGGCAAGTGTTTGACTTCTTTTTCACCCTGCACAGTGATCTTCAGCATCCAGGCTGAAGGTGTCTGTTTGATATTTCAAAAATATACTTGGTACACCAGAGCCTCTATTTCCATTTAACTTCCCCCCTCCCTATCACCACCATTTACCATTTACTGGGTGTTCTACATATAGTCAGATTTGCTTCAGTTGCTGTCATTACGAATATTAAAAATAGAGTTTCAAATGAAAACACATATCCTTCTCTATGCTGTACATTTCTCTGAGAAGCACAACACCGCATAATTTCTCAAATGCAATCCCATTTTCATCTTGCCAGCAATTTGGCAGTTCTCAAAAGGTTACTGCTCTGAATTTGTTTTCTTTGTAATCTTGCAGTCCATTTGTTCTGCCTTAATGCTGAAAATCTATGTAAGATCTTGACCTCCATATGCCATACACCAGAAGATTTACCCTTTTCTTTAAAGTTTTCTTCTACACTAAAATGAGAACAAAGAAATCATTTCATGACTTGTTAAAATGTCATATGGATTAGACATTTAAGGTTAAAATCAAGGGGGTCTCAAACCTTAGGTAGGGTTTAACTACCTGCTGTACCTCTTAGGGCTGGTTTTTTGAAACTATAAATATCTTTCTAAAGTTCTACGACACATACAAAAATTTCATATTCTTGAAAGGAAAGGTGCAGTTAATCTATCAGTCCTATTAGTCACATTGCACTGAAGGTAATTCATCTGTATTTTAACCACAATGTAAAAGGGATGGTTACAGAGGGTTATAAACGAAAATCCAAAAAATGAAAGCTAGCCCAATGTACAAACCAGTGGAGGGATGAGTATTTAAATGAAAGGGACACCTTCTGTGTCATCTGCCCATTTCCTATGCATTTATGGGACACAGTGTTCCCAAGCATCCCTGTGACACCAGGTTCTGTGGGGCCAACCAACTGTAAAGGTGAGTTTCCTAACCTCAAAGTTGTTTTTTTAATTGGGAGAGAAAGAATTAACATTTCTAAAATAATTAGAAAATAAGAAATGTTAAACCTGTGACTACATAAGTATTTAGGGACAGGAAAGAGCTGCTGGTTGGAGGGGCAGACATGTTTTATAGAAGAATTAGACAGTGAGGTGGGCATTGAAGAAGAGGATGGAAAGAGATGAGCTAAAAACTCACAAGAAAAATGTGGGATGGAGCACACAGGTGCTGAAGTGGCAGGCAGAGAAACAGCATAGGCAGAAATGCCAGGGAAGGATGGCTAAGGTGAATGATAGGAAACGCGGTTAGATAAGGAGGGCTGAGGACAATGATGGAGGTCTGCACTCCATATGGGAGGCACTCGAGGGAGCCGCTGGGGCTTTGCGAAGAGAAAATGGTACTCTAGGAAGACAATTCTAGTCCTGGCTGGGGAGTAGGTGAATGCAGAGATGAAGGTTAGAGAGCTCCCCTCACTCATGCAGACATGAGTTCAATGCATGTTTCCTTTCTTGGAGAGAGAACAAAGGGAAAGTTTGAGGATGGAAGTTCTTCATGGGGGTTCCATCTAAAGAATAAGAGTTAGTTGAAGTGGAGGGGCGGGGGTTGGCAAATGGGGCACTTTGCATTTGACCCTTTATACACTTCAGGACAATTTTGTGTGTTTGTGTGTTGTTTTTTGAAAAGGCCATGTGTTATTTTTATAGAAAAAATTTAAATGTAGTCCTAAGATTTATGGAGGACTTTAAAATGATGACACGCTGACAAATGGGGTAAGCATGGAAGGAAGCTGGCTTCGTTGGTAGATGTATCTGTGCATACAGGGCTTCCCAGGTGGATCAGTGGTAAAGAATCTGCCTGCCAAGAGGGAGACACAGGTTTGACCCCTGGGTCGGGAAGATCACCTAGAGAAGGAAATGACAACCTACTCAGTATTCTTGCCTGGGAAATCCCATGGCCAGAGGAGCCTGGTGGGTTACAGTTCAAGGGGTTATACAAGTGTTAGACATGACTTAGAGAGTAAACAACAACAGCACCTGTGCATACATGCACTCACACATGCATCTCTCCAGGTCCGATGTGCACAGCATACATGTCCTTAATCAGCTACTTTCTGTCTCCCGGATCCTGATTCCTTGTGGACCCAGAGCTGTTTTGCCTCATGCCCGCCCCTCTCCTGTGATGTCTCTGTCATTCTATCTCTGATTCCCCTCTGCCAAAAAGATCTGGGTCTTGCAGCAGCTTCTCAGTTGTCACAGTCTACTTGGAGATCTTCTACTGAGTCTTTCTCAAGTTTCTTCAGCCTGAAGTCCCCACTGTCCTTTGCATCCTCCCAGCGCCATGAGGGCTGCTCTGCGATCCATCTTCCACACTTGTCTGACTTGGTGAAACTGACTCGCAGTCCAAAGTGCTCCAGCGCTGGTGGCTTGGCCTGACGCCAGGACTTCGTTGACTGCAGCCCAGTGTGTGGATTAATGTTCACGGGGCCCACATTCGCTAACGGGTAATCAGGCTTTCCAACTGATTTCATAATTTATAGAAGAGATGGCCCTGCCCCTGTAATATGCAACAGTGGCATCATACATATGAATTAAGAGACTGCAAAATAAATCAAGCCCCAGAACCTTTAGAGGCTTTGTGTGTGCCAGCTGGTCAGCGGGAGCTTTGTGATATAAACAGTAAACAGTGAACAGGCAAAGATTTATTTGTTTGAACTCCAACATGTATGCATGACTTTGCATTAGGAAAGCTCTGGGGAGAATGCACCACATTTTGTGGGAACAGACAAGGGGTGGAGAGAAAAGTGGTTGGAAGTGGTGATTTGGCCAACATTAATCACTGAGTAGCAATAGTTTCTTTAAGCAGAGGTTAAAACTCCTAATGCATGACCACAATAGATGTGTATCTAAGAATAAGATGCAGCCTCACGTGGATTGACTGTCAGCTATACAATCCCATGAAAGTTTTTATTTTCTCCCCCACCGTTAAGTTCTGAGCTTTTCCAGAGAAATAATGTATCTATGAAATAACAGAACTTTATTTAATGTTTTTTTCATCAATTCATATAAAAATAATTAGATTACAGAAAGTCAAAAGCCTTAACATTTAAAACTTTCTATGAAATTGTAGGACAAGTATTGCTTATGATGTTCTGAAAAAGAAGCCTTGAAATCAAGCAAAATCTATAGATTTTAAAGAGTCAGATGTATTTTTTGGTCCTAAACTTAAATACTTTGTTACCATAAAAAATACAAAACATTTTTAGAAGTAGGGTGAAATGTATACTATTTACAAGATTTTGGGTAAAATCAGAACACTTGACAAAAATTTTTAAGTAATTTTACAGTTTAGGGAAAATTTTTAGATGCAAAGAATTACTGAGATTCCAGGAAATTCCAGGCACTGTGCCAGAGGCAAAGCCTAAAGAAGACCGATGGGTCCTGCCTTTTAAAGCTGATGTCCTAAAGGGGAAAACAGAAACAAACAGTAAACAAGTACATGAGATAATGATAATATGTAATACTTGCCATGAAGGCAATAAACAGCATGTTGTGAGAGATCTGGATGGTGGCCAAAGGAGGTAGTCAGGGAGGACTTCTCTGAAGTGGTGACACTGATACTGTGATTTAAAGGATGCAGGTGAGCCAGTAATGTCCATATGGACGGAAGCAAATTCCAGGAGGAGGGAACAGTGAGTAGAGGTAGTAAAAGGAGGTCATTGTACTTGGGGCTGAAATTAGGGGAATATTCAGTGGTAAAGAATCCACTTGCAATGTAGGAGATATGGGTTTGGTCCCTGGGTCGGGAAGATCCCCTGGAAAAGGAAATGGCAACCCACTATAGTATTCTTGCCTGGGAAATCCCATGGACAGAAGAGGCTGGCGGGCTACAGTCCAATGGGTCTCAAGAGTTGGACACGACTTAGCAACCTAACCACCACCCTCAGGGAGACCCTGGCCTGTTCTGGGATCTTTATGGCCATTACAATGAACTGATGCAAAAGAAAGCCACAGGAACATTTTGAGTAATAAAGAGATCTGATCTACATGCTCCCATTTACATTTTTAAAGGCTTATGTTGGCTCCTTGAGAAAAATGTATCGGAGGGGACAAGAGCTGAAACAGAGAGCCCCAAGAGGTTGGTGGGGCCATCCAAGGCAGAGGGGGTGGCAGCTTGATGTGGTGGATGATATGAAGATGGGGAGAAGTAGGCATACTCGAGTATGTTTGCAGGTAAAACTCACAGGACTTGAATAAGGACTGAAAAACTATAAGAGACAAATCAAGGATGAACCCTAGGTTTTTGGCTTCAGTAATGCTGGAGAGCACTGCTATGCTCTGGGGTGAGAAGTATGATGGAGGAACAGGCTTGGGGAAGAGGAAGAGGATCAAGAGGGTCTGACGAAAGTCTAGGCTGAGGTTCCTATTTAACATCCAAGTGAAGATGTTAAGAACAGGGAAGTGGATATGAAGTCTGGGTTTGAAATATTGATAAGAGACCATCAGCGTGTGAATTTAAAGCCAAAAGTCAGGATGAATTCCTCTAGGAACAGTGGGTGGATAGACAAGAAGAAGACCTAAAATTAAAAATAGGTAGAGAAAGCACCACGAACTGGAATATAGAAAGTCATGAGTATATGCTGTTTCAGGAAGAAGAGGGGAATGTGATTAACGTCGATCCTGAAAATTCGAGCAAGATGAAGTCAGAGAAATAGATCTTGAATTAAGTAACCTAGAAAATAGCAATTACAGTAAAAATGAAGCCAGATTGAAGTTAGGTGAAGAATGAATGTGAGATAAAGTTCTAGGTACAGCAAGAGTAGCAACTCATTTGAGGAGTTTGGGTGAAAAAAGAAACAGCGGAATGAGAGGTAACTGAAGGGGAGATACAGAAGTGCACAGAAGCCTGTAGTTTTTGGCCATTTACAAACAGATATTTAATACAGAACTGGTTTAAATGCATTGTGATACATCTACACAATAGAATTATACAGCTATAAAACATAATGAGTAAGATGTGTACCTTTAAGTGAGAAAGACAAGTGCAGAATAATTCTAGTATGCTACCTTTGTTTTCAAAAGGGGAAAATGAACATATTTATTTGCATTTGTAACTACATCTATGCATAAAGTATTTCAAGAAGGGTATGCTGGATGGTGAAAATGCTGCCTGTCCCTACAGAAGAGAATGAAGTAATTTGAGCACACTTGGGAAAGGGAGGATCTCCTTTGTAAACCTTTTTGTACCTTTCAAAACTTGAATGATGCAAATGCATCACCTTTCCAAAAATTAAATAAATAGCCTCTGCTGGAACATGTTTTGGTGACCAAGCAGAGATAGAAATCATTTGATGGTGCTGGAAATAGAAATGATAACTAAGGGGTGACGTCTACTAGGAGTGAGAGCAGGTGGGTATCAGAATCCCTGTGAAAGAAGCCCCCTTGGCCACGAGCAGGACTCTTGTTCCTGTACAATAGAATGTAACAGGCAGGTTTGTACATTTGGTGATGGGGGAATAAAGGTGTTTTGCTCAGATGGTATTTATTTTGTGAATGAAGGAAGAGACATCAGTTGGGTGCAGAGAAATGAAAGAGGTAGGGAAAGTTTCATGGTCTCAAAAGATGAGCCATACCCCCTAGGGAAAAAGAATATAATTGATGAGTAAGATTGAGTGGTCACAAATTGAAACCAACTGTAGTTACTCTGGTTGTTTAATGTTTTCCAGTCACAATGAACTGGCCAGGGGTGTGTCAAGTCAGGGGGTGGTTGAAATGTCACCATTTCCAGTCTGGCCGAGGCCAAGCAGGGCAGAAGTTTAGGATATCTGCATCTATGATTCAGGAAAGGACCTTGGAATCTATCTGGATAAACTGGAGAAGACCAGGATAAAGGCCTGTTATATCCAGGATAAAGGATAGTTAAAAATAGGAGGATCCAACAAATTGGAGATGTCATGATACGGATGCATTGTTGCAATGGAGGTACACAGCTCTCTCAAAAGAGAGTGACAGGACTTCTCTGCTGGGCTAGTAGTTAAGAATCTACCTGCCAATGAAGGGATCATGGGTTGGATCCCTGGTCCAGGAAGATTCCACAAGTGGGAGAGCAACTAAATCTATCACTGCTACTGTTGAAGCCCCTGCACCCGAGAGCCAGTGCTTTGCAACAAGAGAGGCCACTGCAATGAGAAGCCCTCACACCGCAACTAGAGAAAGCCCAAGGACAGCAAGGAAGATCCAGGGCAGCCACAATCAATGAATTAATTCATTAAAGAAGAAAGAGAGTGACCTAGAAGGACAGGCAATGGTGACTAAGAATGAGAGCTAGAAAGAGTGACGACAGACCAGAACACAACCAAGCGAAGAGATGGCTGAGGCAGATGGAGGAAGATGATGGCTTCAAACATGTGTGCCTGCTCAGTCATGCCTGACCCTTTGTGACCCCATGGACTATAGCCTGCCAGGGTCCTCAGTCCATGGAATTTTCCAGTCAAGAATACTGGAATGGGTTGCCATTTCCTCCTCCAGGGGATCTTCCTGACACAGGGATCAAACCCACATCTCCTGCATTGCCAGGCAGATTCTTTACCACTGAGCCAGGTACCAAACAGGCCCCCCCTCCGCCCCCCAACCTCCCCCCTCCCCCCGCCCCCCACACAGACTGGGCTGTTGAATGGGGCCTTGGGATGAGAGCAAGACAAAGAGCTGAGCACTGAAATCCTCCATAACCGTGCAGGGAGGAGCGGTGATGGCTGGACAGCTGAAGTGGGTAGTAGAAGATCGAGCTTCACCTGAGTGGGGCTTTGTAAGGAGGAAAGACAAATGGTTTTGAAGCCATAATGCTAGGGGAGGGGACAGGAGGAGGAGATATCTACAGAGAGGCTTGTGTGCTAGTCCCTGAGGGGACATAGGGCCTGCACTATCTTCAGGGAACAGAGCAGTTGCAGGAGGACTGAGAAGAGTTTGAGAAGACCCAGGCATTTCCTGAGAAGGCCTGTGTCCCTGCGGGCACAGTGACATGTAACTGATAGACATCTCCTACCTTCTTTGACCTCATTTCTTTCTTACCCAGCCAAATAGCCACACCTTCGCACCTGGAGCTAAGGTTCTTATCTTTTGACCTGAAGCCCCTGGCTCACCACAGATTCACAGTGGTGCCAGGTGGAGGTTGGCCGTGGCTGCCTGGATTTCTGTGGGTTGGAGGACATCACCTAGCAACTCGCAGTTTTTTTGGGTGGTGACAGAGTATAGCCCAGGGGAAAAGAGATTCCATGGGAGCCATGTAAGGTAAGGATTATACTGACAAATTGTTGTCAAAGTTGAGCATACCATTGTGCCCACATGCAAATAGGTACAGAAAGCCTCCTTTGGGCACCTGGGCTTTTGTGCAATAGGTATGTAGCCCTTACTCAGAGCTAATTAATGCACCTTAGTATGTTAGGAGACTACAGATGAAATTAAGATGCTTGCTCCTTGGAAGAAAAACTATGACAAACCTAGACAGCATATTAAAAGCAAAGACATCACTTTG